CAGTGTGACAGTATTTGTAAACTTCCCCATGTGATGGTTTTACCTCCCCCCGCCCCCGCCGTGTGATGGTATTTGGACAAACTCCCCCCACCCCAGTGGTATTTGGAAATGCATCAGGACTAGATGAGTTTGTGAGGGTGCGGCCTTCCTGGTCGATGTATTGCCCTTACAAGAAGAGACAGTGGAGAGCTTGCACTCTTTCTGCATCATGTGAGAACTTTGAAAGACGATCATCTGCAAACCAGGAGGATCCCTCATAAGAAAGGACTTGACCAGGCTGACTTCCAGCTTCCAGAACGGGGGGGATTCCTGTGAAGTCACCCCCTCTATGGGGTTTGGTTGTAGCCCCTGAGCAGCCTTTTGTGTATGGGCAACCCCTGCGTTTCCACACGGCCGCCTTCCTTTCGGCTGTTCCCTATATTGTAATGGTTGTCATTCCCTCTTTCCAACTTGTGTGAAATATGTTACAAATAAAGTCAGAGGTGTGTTTAATTACGTAGAATCAGGCTCTTCTGTGTTTTCCTTCTGCAAAAGCTACTTTTGAAAATACCTGTGTCTTAAGACAGCTTTGTGGGATGCATGACTACATGGGTTAGGTCGAGCCAAGTGAAAAAAAACCAAACTAAGGTTTCCATTTTAACTGCCTTTTCAGACATGTAAAGAAAACATCTTTAAGAAACACCATTTGGAGCAAATGGGAGAGCAGAGTAGGCTTAGAAAGGCATGCCTTTCCCCTCTCACTCACATGATCACACCCCTACCCTGTTTATTCCTTTGCCGTCTGCCAGGTTGGCTCCAGACCCCTGGGAATGTCCCTGAAGAATGGGAGGGGCAGGAGGATGCCCTGCCCACACTTAGGTGCTGTTTTAGTTACTTTTCTCTTGTTGCTGGGACAAAATACCTGATACCCAAAGTTAAAGGGGGGAAGGTTTCTTTAGCTCACGGTTTGTAGAGGTTTCAGCCCATGATCAGCTGGCCGCAAGGCAGGATGGCATGGCAGAGGGACAGCCGTTCGTGGCAGCAGAAGACAGCAAAAGCAGCAAGAGCAAAGGGCAGGGTAAGCCTCTTTTCCTCCCACTTGTGCCATGCAGGCTACCTGCCATAGCCCCAATCCCAGCACTAGACAGTGAACCAGTCACAAACTCTAGATTCAGCTGCTTCCGATAAGCCCGCCCACCATGACTGCATGAGGCTTTGGGGGGACATCCGGACACAAACCATAGCAGGTACTTTCACCAGTCTCACCTCATTGCCTAGTGCATTGCTTGTTCCTCCTGAAAATTTCAAGAGTGCACTGGGATGGCATTGCATTACAAAGTAAAGCCAACTTGGAATTGGGTGTGAGAATTGCTTTATTTCTATTCAGAAATCCTCATCTTGTTAGGCCCATCCCACAAAACTCTTACAGCACTTGCAGGCACTTCTGAGGGTATTGTTCCCTGAGTTTCAGGGCAAAGTGCCTGGCTCTGGAAAATTCCAAAAGAACAGGCTCAGCCACCTGTCCTAAACACCAATCGAGGAAACAGTCATAGAACAGACAAGGGTTCAAGATCTGTCTGCCAGTAGCTGACAGAAGTTTGGGGGTTTTATAGGAAAAAGGTTGCAAAGGCGAGGATTGGGGTTTCCATAGCTGGGGTATTTGCACAGCTGGCAGCATACGTTGTTCTGGTCAAGTCATGGCCTGCTGAACCAGTATCTTGACTGGTTCTGTCAGATCCTGAGGGAGCTCTCCTTGGAGGGGGAAATCGGGAGATGATGGCTCCTGCTTCGGAGGGCGGCTATTCCTGTGTGGGGGAGTTGTTTGCTCTTGGTGAGTGGCCTCATCGTGGAGTGGTCTTCAAGGCACTTCTGGAGTCCATGGTGTGGTCTACAAGTTGAGCACAATGACCTGAGACTCGGAGACCTTGTTGTAAGGGATCTGGAACTGGGGATTGCGAAAGCTGCCAGTTAGAAGTCGTCATAGTTACTTTCCTCATTGCTGAGAATACTTGACATCCACAGTTAAAGGAGGGAAGGTGGATTGTGCCTCGCAGTTTGTAGAGGTGCGCATAATTGGCTGGCTCCAAGGCGAGGTGGTGCGGCAGAGGGAATCGCAGAGGAGAAACATTTCATGGTGGACAGAAGTCAGCAAAGCAGTGAGGTAGGAAGCAGCAGCAGCAATGGCAGCAGCTCTTTCTGCCCCTTATATTCTACCCAGGCTACATGCCCTTAGGGAGGATGGCACTCACACTCAGGATGGGCATTCCTATTATCCACATCCAGAATCCAAACCAGTCAGTGGACTAATTCAGTAATCACACTCCCTTGATCTCAGTGTCACACACAATCCCAGCATCACACACTCCGGATCCAGCCCCCTCTGAAATGCCCCACCTATGACCACATGAGGCTATGGGGGGACATTTAGACACAAGCCATAATAGATGTCCCTGCAAATCCTGAAAATTGGTTTCTGTTCAGGTTTGTTGTTTGTTTGGTTTTTGTTTTTCTGGTATATATTTTTGAGACAGGATCTCACTGTGTAGTTCAGGCTGGCCTTGAACTTGCAATGATCCTCCCGCCTCAGCCTTCCAAGTGCTGAGATTATAGGCGTGTGGCACCACACTCAGCCTTATCCTCAGTCTTAAAGGGGACTGAGATAGGTCAGGTAAATGAAGGGCTAGTATGTCTTATGTGATTAACCTACACTGAGCAGGAACCCGACCCCTCTTTTTCATGTAATAAAAAGACACATAAATGAAGTCAGGGGTTCTGGACCTTGTTCTTTTAGCTACCTAATGGGCATCTGTAAGCCTCATCTCCCAGTTTCAGAATCTTGGCAAAAGAACTGCAGGTGCATTTGTGCTCCCGCTTACTGGGACCTCGGTTATTTCCTGAGGATTTCCATTCTCCCTCTGCGTGCGTGCCTGTGGGTACATAGTGGAGAAGAACCCAGGGCCTCACAACTGCCAAGCACACTCTCTGCCACCAGGCTGTACCCTCAGCCTCTCCATTCTTATTTTATTGCTTCTGTTATGCTAACTTTGGTCTTCATTGCAGAGATTCTTCTTCTGATTTGTTCAGGAGTAAATTGTCGCCCTTGGCTTGAGACTGTTTCTTTTACAACAGGTGCAAAGTGCAGTTATATTTCTAAGCACATCTGTAATTACAGACGATAATTGGTGCTGTGGTGCATCCCACACATTTTGATAGAACCTGCTCTCAGTTTCATTCTATTCAAAATACTCTTTCCCCTTTTTATTTCTTGTTTGACCCATGGGTTAATAAAAAGTGCAACTCTGCTCTAAAATTTGGGCATTTTCTAGTTATCTTTCTGTTAGTGATTTCTTAGGAAAACCCATTCTGACCAGAAAACATTTTGTATGACTTGAATCATTTTAAATTAATTGAGATATATTTTAAGGCCTGGGATATGGTCCGTTGGAGACAATTACCAGATGTGGTCTTAGGGAGTCCTCCCCAAGAGAGGATGAGTTCTGCAACTTGGCTCGTGAGGTAGTTTTTCTCTCTCTCTCTCTCTCTCTCTGTCTAACACATTGGA